TTTCACTTTCACACCGTTGTGCTGTTCGAGATGTGTTGTATCCCCAAAGGCTGCTTCCAGTAGTGTGGATCAAAGTAGTACCTATGAACACCCTAACTACCCAGAGTCACTTCTGAAAAATTAAACATGCTATGTTTGCTTGCACGCTGATTGGGGCACTCTGGTTGCTGAGAGCAATCAGTATGAACTTCCCTACTGCTGATGTAATGATGATGAATGCTGTGACACTGCTATTTGAGACAGCTCTGCTCAGCGGATGCAAACCACTTGTTAATGAATTGAATACAACTACAGCAGCATCGAATAAAATGGGGAAAGGATTTTTTTTGTTTTTTTTTTTCCTAAAGCCAACACATTAAATGATGTCTCCTCAAAAAAATGTAACGAATAAAGGCAGAAGAAGGTTGAAGTTCACAAGAAACAGAAGCTGGTTGAGAATTTTAGATGCTAATTCCTGCCCAAGCACTTCTGCTGAAGCTGGTAGTGAGCCTATTCCCATGAATAAAGATTTGCATGATCTGATCTTTAGCACTAACTTATTCAGTATAAATGTAATGATTCAAAAAGTAATTCGGAGAGGAAAAGGAGCACAGAGCGGAGGATTTCTTGGAAAATTGAGGTGTATGTTCAGAGAGGGTCACGTTTCCTGCTCTTCCAGGCAGAGGGTTGCTCCACTGGTTTCGGTTAGTTGATACGGAGTTAACGAACAAAAAGATTTTTTTTCTCCCTAGTATATTAATATGATTATTTTTACTGCTGTGAGGCACAGTTTTATGACCAGCTCCATAAGGACCGGAAATGATATAATTTCAAGTTGCTTGAAAGAATTTTTTTGTTCAAAATACATTTCCGACATATTGCCATTTATTGACACTCCTTTTAAAAGAGACAGTTTTCCTCATTTAACTCATTTAACAAGTTCATTCCAGTAGCTTGTTCCTAAAATTCCTCCAATTTAATATGCAAATGGTGAAAATTAACATTTACGATTTAAAAAGAAGAGACACACCTGCAGGCAGGTTGATGTTTTGAGAGGGATTAGATTTAAAATGGGGATCTGGAGTTAGTTGTGCAGTGGGTTCAGGCTTTAGGGAAATTACGAAAGGTTCAAGCGTGGTTGAATGGGAAAAAGCCATGAATGTTTGCTTTCAGGAAGGAATGTTTATCCCTCTATTTACCCGTGAAAGTTCAGGCTTTTGCTTATATACTGTTATAGCAGTTTCTTGCCATTCATATGCACGTGGAGATGCCGGACAGCCGACAGGAACCAGCTTTCTGGGTTTTTGAAAGCAAAAGGTCCATGCTGCAGAACAGAGACATGTTGTCTCGGGCCTGGGGGCAGGAACAGGGAAGTCACTGACCCACACGCTGGGGAGAGCCAGGTACACCGTAGTATAAATCACTTCATATTTTAGTGTGAAGACGACGTCAGGGTGGCTGATACTCAGAATGCTTTTTGGTAGGGGTTAGCAGCCAGTGGAAAGTAATCTTCACATTGTCCCAGGCATTTTTATTTTTTGGTAGACTGCAGCTCTCATATTTCAGTACAATTTCTGAGAGAAAGTAAAAATCACAGGCAAAATTAAGGAGAATGATTCTAGAAGGTGTGCCTGGTTTGTGTTTTCAACTTGGGCTTAAGTTTATGAAAAAAAAAAAAGATTTTTGGGGCACCATATTGATTTCCAGTTGACTGCTTCACTGTTGGGCATGCGTGGCAAAACATGCCAAAACACATACCTCTAATTATTAATCCTGCCATCTCTCCTGGCTTTCCTCACTCTCCCAGCCATGCACACACCATGTAGTTGTTACGGCACTGGAGTGCAACTGGAGCTGCTGGAATCCTTGCAGACGCCCTTGCCGCACGTGCGTGGGTTGGGAGCGGAGGAAGGAAGGCACAGGAGGAGACGTCTGCAGCGCCGCGGCCATCGGCTCGTGGCGCGGGGTGTAGAGCTGAGGAAGAAGGTTTGCTCTTGCGGCGTTCCCTCTTCCATGCTGGCATGAAAGAAAGCAGCCTTCTATGTGTAAACCAGGCAGACATGAACCAGAACAGGTACCAAGAGCAAATGTTTTTATTAGCTTGTGGCCAATTCTGTAGTTTTCTGACCAGAAGTTCACTTTAAGCTGCTGCTGCAGACCTCTGTTCTGTACCCATCGTCCACACTAGGTAGCGTAGAACAGGAAGGTGATAGAGAGTGGTGGGAAATGTGGAATTATGTCTCCTAGTCTTCCCTCCGTTAAAGAGAACAGCCCCAAAGCACCAGAAAAATCTTTGTGGTAGGCTGTTGGGGAAAGGAAAAAAATAGCCAAGAAAAAGGGTGGGTGCCAGTCTGAGCAGCCACGTGTTGCTCTTGAACTGCAGATGATAAAGATGCTCTTTTAGGAGATTAAAGCTGTGTTAACTCCCTACAGTACCTTCATCTCCTTCCTGAGCAGTGTAGGATTGGATTGTAATGGAGGTCCTGTCCTGCTGTGGTGGGTCCTGCCGTGGTGGAGAGGGTCGGGAGGTGGAGATCAGTGAGGGCTCCTTGCTCACATCTGTATGAATGTCTGCATGGCAGGAGGTGATGGAACCACTCTAGATACCTGTCATTGTTTTCATGACCTTTGCTCAAACATTTCTTGCCACTCCGCTGGCCTCGTGGAACGGGGGCAGAGTATGTGGCTTCTTCCTTGCTAGTTGAGTAGGGAGCATAATTGTTTCATTTCATGACTTTTAGTCAAAAGAATTAGGCCTGTGAGCTGAGGACAGAAGGAAATGGGGACAAGTTCTGCAGCTTCCCTCTCTGAGCTCTCTCACAGTCACTCTTTGATGTAAATGAAGATGCTGCCTGAGTAGCAGACTTGGCCTTTAAAAGGCAAAACAGAAGAAAAATAACCGCAACTGAAAATGTGTAGCTTTGAAAATTCTTTCAGAGACAGCATAGAAATGTATTCTTTTGAGAGGATATTAAAGAGCTCAAAGGAGGGTAGCCAGACCACAAGAGGGTAAGTTGAAGGACTCGCTCATGTGATGGCTGGAGACAGGGTAGAGGCAGATTTTGGTGCTTCTGTGGCCAGGGCTGTATGGAGAACATGAGCATGGTCTTGTCAGTGTGGGGTGAACAGCTTGGCGGCAGTGCCAGCTTCCCCTCAGTTTCTGCCAGTGAGAGGGACTGAAAAGCCTGACGCGTGTGATAACTGACCAAAGCTGTGGATGCTCTTGCATGAGGTGAGTGAGGGTAGAGGAGGAGGAAGCGTGTGGGAAATCTGGAAAGGTGCTGGGCACAAAGATTGTGTGAGGTCTCTGCTCAAGGAGATTTGTGCATTGCTGGGTACAAGTGATGGCAGTTGTGAGTTGCGCATGGTTAGATCTCTCCTTCAGGGTGCAGACACCTGACATTCCAGTAGGAAGTCCTTTCGCAGATCACAATGATGTTTATGGCACTTTCACAGGCAGATCTTAGAAGTACTCTTAGAAGACCTCTGCCATGGCAGACAGAGCTTTGTTGTTTTTGGGAAGAAAGGATCTCAAGGGAAGAAAAATACCTTGCCGAAGGTTAGACCAGTAGGTTGGTGGCAGAGAGTCTCTGACATCTAGTCCAGTTCCCTGGCTGTGCTGCGTGGCTAAATAATGATTCATTTAGTGATTGGGCTCTTCTTTGATCCCTACTGTATAACAATGAGGCTTTGGAGTGTTTTATTGTGCTATTAAAAAGAACTCCTACTAGGGAGGTGGGAAGGGGAAGGTTTACTAGACAGCTGTGTTTGCGATGAATTGGCTTTGCAGCCTTTTTTTGAGTTTGGGTGTGTTTTTTTGACTGTCAGAATTGGGGAAACAGGTTGCTAATGTAATTACACTTCATTATCGTTTACTTTGTGGCTTGTTTTGAGGACTTTGGTTTTTTATTTCATATAAATGTTGTTCTAGAACGGTGTGACTTCCTTCCGTTTCAGACCCCTGTAGCTAATGACTGCAGTGCTACTCAGAGCTGAAAACACTCTCTTCATTTATTATGATTTTTTGTTGGTGTTGCATAGGATCACGTTCACACTGCCGAAGTACCTGGGTATGTTCTGAGCATGGTGTGTGCTGAATATTGATAATTTGTGTAAACTAACTTGGACAGACTGGTGTGCGTCAAGTTAAGCTGCAGACCAACGCATATGTTCTTCACAGCCCAGGATCCCTGCAGTCTTGGGGCCTGGTGTGGGTACGCTGCTGCACAAGCAGTGTCAGCCTTTCAGGAGCTGGTGGGCTGCTTAGGTTTATGTTAGGCATTTAAAAGCTCTGAGAATAAGGAGAAGTGATCTGTGGGGTATAAATGAAGGTATCCCTGGAGATGACACTGAGAATAGCCAGGAAAGGCAGAATAACCAGACACACACCTCTGTGGAGTTTTCCCATTTCAGCGTTTTCAGGCAAAAGAAAGTGATCTTATTACCTGCCACTAGCAATAATATTTGCCTTTCCCTGTGGTTTTCAGGGTGTTGCTCCAATGCACTTTTGTTTGAGTTAGATTTCTGAACAAACAAAGTGAGAGATGTTTACATGAGTGGGACAAGGTGTAGAGATAGAGAGGGTAATTCTTGCTGCAGTGTGTTCGGGTAGCGTGAATGTTGAAATTTAAATATTTGGTTCCTATAGTCAACATGAAGGTCTGTCTTGATTTCTTTTGTGTTCCAAAGTGCTCTGGACATAGAAGAAAAATACTGGCTTTTCCCCCCTGGGTCCATTGAAACGCTACAGGCTTGAAAAAAACGGACCCACCCATCAAGCAGCATAATGGTTTGTGATGCTGATTCTCTTGAAAGGCAAACATCCTTATTTTTGGTGTTAGTGTTTCCTTAAATTCCTTGGGAATTCTTGTGTGCAAACATGATTTGATGGGCATCCAGAAGTGGCCTGTGGACTGCTAATTGCGTTGTACTGCAGGCTCTTCTTCAGGTGAGAGGTGTGAGACATTTTGGTCTAAGCTTTTGAATAATATTTAAAAGTTTATGGCTCTCTTGTTTTATTTAGGTGTTAGTACAAGGAGAGCTGAAGTAATGAGAAGTCATCATGGAGGCTCAGTCCCATAGCTCTGCCACGACGGAGAAGAAAAAAGTGGAGAATTCCATCGTGAAATGCTCCAGTCGAACAGATGTCAGTGAGAAAGCGGTTGCCTCCAGCACAACTTCCAATGGTGAGTAACAGCAGGGATTTACTAGCAGCCAAACCTACAGTAATTTTATGTTCGCTGCATTCCTTGTGAATTGAGCATTTGCACCTGGATCAGTGTTTGTTCTAAGGAAAGGCGAAAGAAAACGAACAAGGAGGGGGGGATGGTGGTGGAAAGTGGTAGGATACAATAAGGCCTGTTTTGGCATCAGGCGTAGTCTTTTTCTTCCAGATGTTCTAATTTGAGATGTAAATGTGCTAAGTTATTTATTATAGGAAGTTCCTGTTTTTGACGGTTTGGAAATTGTCTTGATTAGCCTGGCAGGGCTTGCGAATGCTTTGCATTTGGCCATTGAAATCTCTTACACTAGTTAGATAATTAGTTATTATAAAAGAGACAGAAGTAGCCCAGTCAAAATTAATGGCAAAGGTTCTTTTTTTCTTCTCTTCTTTTACAAATAAACTTGCTCCTCGCAAAGGGCCGCCCCTACCTCCCCAAAGTTCTTTAATGACCAGCGACAAAACATCAAGCTCAGAGTGTGTCCTCCCATGAATTCATTTTAAAGTTGCGAATGTACAGCTTGTAGGTTTGCAAAATCGGAGTAGTTTGCTGAATTCTCCCCAGAGATTACCTCACTTCACAATGTTACATGTTCTCTGCCTCTCCAGAGAGTCTGAAATCCCAGCCCTGGCCCTGGCATTGTTCAGTGTGAGAGGACTGAGTGTGTTGGTCCCTACTAATAGTGCAAAGCTCTCTGTATTAGGAAAGAAAATTGCTTGAAAAGGTGTGGGCAGAGTGGATTCTGGATAGCTGCAGATTAACTGTTGGTTTTTGCGAATTGATCTAATAAAGGTTCAAAACGGAAGATGTCTTATTTTGGAGTCCCAGTATACCCCCGGCAGAACATTTTCTGTTCACCCTTTCTGCTTCCATCGTGCTCGCTCATCTGGGCTTGTGGCTCAGGTCAGGTTCTCACTTTGGTATCTTGAAGAAAGGTGTCTGCTTTCTCAGAGAAGCGCGTATCTCCCACTAGGCCAAAGCAGCCATACTAGGGGGGAATCTCTGTGGGTCAGTAAAAATTAGATGGCACGTGTCCCAGCATCCTTCTGTGTGACTGGACTTCAGATTCAAAGCAAACTCAGCACCTGCTGACCTGCTAGTTGGAGCTGATCCTCACGAGAGCACCGAAACTCTTGAGCAGCTATGGAAAAAGTTGCATCAGTTTTCTAAGGCATATGAAATTAGATCCTCAGCTGGTGTAAGTCAGCACAGATCTGTTGCTGTCAATAGAATTATAGTGGTTCACATTAGCTGAAGAGCTCCCCATTGTCATTTTTTTTTCGATAAGAGGATTTTCCACATTGGCCAAACTTTTCAAACAGATGCACACTTCAACGTGCGTATTCTTTGATGTGTCAGGGATTTGTACTCAACCTCGATATTGGCACATACCTCTGACTGTTGGGGCTAGCTTTAATGTTATCGTTAAACATCTAGATTTGGAGGGCTAAAAATAAAGCCTTCAAGATGTTTTTGCCTAATTCTGACACTGATTTGCCCTGTGGACAAATAGTTTTCTCTCTCTATTCTGCCTCTCAGCTTTAATGGTAATATTCGTTCTTAACTACCTGCTTCATCTAGGTGGTGTATTACTGCGTGTCAGGGGCATCAAACTCCCAAGAGCTGGAATGACTCTAAGTCTAACGTGTGACTAGAAATTTTTGTCATTGGAATTGTCTCCTATTAATGGAATGAGATGCTAATGTAGTACACGTCCTCGGGCCTGAGGCTGCGTTTAGTTAAGGTAATGACAGTTAACCTTTGTTTTCAGTGGGTAAGTGTTAGTCTTGCTAGTCTTTGTGTTTAGGGAAGTCACCAGGATCTCCAAGGTGTGAGTTTCTAATCTCACTTCATGTATAACCAAGCAAACGACTTTCCAGAGGTACAGGGTTGGACTTCAAAGGGATGAAAAATTCCATTCCTTCCTGGATATGAAAAATTTCCTGTTAGTATAGAGACTCAGTGGAGCGTGTACTAAAACAAATACTAATACCAAATCTTTAGGAGCTTAAGCATGAGTTTTACTGTTGCAATGTTTTAAAGTTTTGCTTCTTGCAGATGTGATTGTCATGATAACGGATTTTGGTTACAAGGACCAATGTGCATGAGAGCTGGAGCTTGCATCGCATTTGCATCTTTTGTTCTTTAGTGCTGGAATGAGTGTTATTACAGGAACATCATCAGTTGATAGAAGACACCACTCCTACAAAACATGCAGCTTTTGTGGATTCAGTGCCTCTCTTTTTGCAGAGGGCTGTGGTAATGTTAAATGGTTATGATTTGCATTTGAATGCTCTGTTAAACAAGGTAAGGTACCCTTAAAAACAACAAAAAGACAGAGTGATCCTGGCTGTTTTTGTCAGAAGACTCTGCTGTCATTGTGGAGCTGCCTCTGCCTATCATACCTCCTAAGGTGTCTTAATATCAGTGCTTCTCTCCTTCTGGACAGCACATTAATTAGCAAAGTCTGCAGGGTAACGTGCTTGAGTGACAGCTGTCTTGAGGTGTGATGTAGAAGCTAGTATTTTCTCAGTAGCTCTGCTGTCTCTGGAAGAGTCAGAACTTGGATCATAGATTGAAAGCTGTTAGTTACGAGTTTTATGCAGAGCTGACAAATATGAAGAAACAAAGAAAATGCCATTGTTTCAACAGCTCCCAAAAGCGAGTAGCACACCCAGCAGCAGAATCTATGTTGAAATGAGCACTGAGTGTGGAAAACTTTTAAATCATGTGATGTGCAAACTGTTTCTTGAAGAGCCTGGTGTAAACCGAAGTGCAAGGGAAAGGAAAGTGGGAAGGATGATGGGGAAGGCCAGCTCGTGTGTTAACCCTGACTACACAACACAAGTTAAGAGGCCCAGGCCTGTGGGTGCCCCTCGGAAGGTACCGGCTGCGCTGTAGGCTCAAATGCTGAGCACGTCTGGGCCGTGGTTGACATGCTAACCACTTCTACCGAGTTCCTGTCATTACTTAATACAAAAAAGGTTTCTGCTGTGCTCACCTGACTACAAACTCTTTTTCTAAGATGCTTGCAGTGTGTTAGATAAGGGCCTGCCAGCGTTTCCATTATAAACCCCTAATTTCAAGGAATTATAACTAAGCCATTAAAATGTGCTCCAGGCTGAAACATGTGGGGAAGGTCTTAGTGCTGGAGCAAATTAAAACTTCTTTTAAAATACATGTGATCAAAAAAGTAAAAAAAAAAAAACCCACGCCATAGTTTGTAATAACTATCAAAAAATCTTTGGTGCGCTTTGATCCCCAGTGGGACTTTGTAATTTGGGACCGCTCTTGCTTTGTTTTGGGTTCATTTTTGCAAGCTTTTGATCTTTTTTCCTTTGTGTTTCATTTTGTGTACTTCAACCAAACTGCATGCAGTTTACTAGGATACATTTCTTTGCAAATTGTTCCTTTTACTCCTCCTTTGTTTGACTGCTGTGTTTACTGCTAGGCTAATATCCAAGGGGGGAAAACTGCTAAAGAAAACTGCTGACAGAGATGCTCATTCACCAAAGGCTGTATGAATAAGAAGTTTGTGCTAGGGTATAAAGTAAGCTTACTTTTGTGTATCGTGTGATTTGATAGCCTCAGACTGATCTGCTTTAGCAGAGTAATAACAACAACAAATAAATACAGTGTTTTATGCCATGACCGTGTCACTGGTTTTGCACTGGAGTAATGAGGCCAGTGTCCCAGGTCACCTTGCTGCCACGGTGCTATGTTTTCAGGCTTTGTCATCTCACATGCACATCCCTGCCATTCTTCTGGAGACAAAGCAGCAAGACCCCATTCCCTACCATGCCTGTGCATGGATTTGATAGAATCGTAGAATGGTTTGGGTTGGAAGGGACCTTGTATATCATCTCGTTCCAGACCCCCTACCATGGGCAGGGATACCTTCCACTAGACATTTAGGTCATCATCTTGACAGCTGCTGCGTGCACGCAGAGGTTTCTATCAAGTTATGTGAGGAATGTCTTTCTGAAGAGAGGTATCCATTGATGAACACGTTAAATTTAGTTCTGTGCTCCCCTTGGAGAGCCTTCACCTGGTATTGCAGGTCATGAAACCTGCCTTGCTAGACCTCCGTTGGATAATATGGCACCTCCTGTAATTTCAGGTAATCCCAGGATTAAATAGAAATGTTCAGGTGAACGCTGTAAACACTGCGTGTATCCGCACGGTACCCTGCCTTGCTGGAGCGTGATGAGTGCCAGCATGGAGGCTGGTTCTCAGCTGCTCCTCCACACCGCTCGGCCGGTGAAGGGCAGGGCTGGCAGGGCGAGTGGCGTGCCTGCTCCTCGCAGCCGGCCGTACGAGCTGTTGCCAGGATCAGTCAGTGTGCCAGGCTGAGCACTGCAGTGCTCCAGCAGAAAACACAGGGCTGGCTCCCCTGCCCGTGCCACCTGCGCCGGAGCGGTACCCTCCTGCACCCCGGCATGGGGAGTCACCAGCCCTCCCGGGTCCCAGTGTTGCAGCAGAGTCTCGAGTTCCAGGCTGGCAAGTGGCCAGGCGGACACCTTGCTTTCGGCAGAGGGATAGCTCCGTTGCTGGCCCGAACGTGAGTGTTTGCGTGCCTGCGGTTGGGCAGTCGCTTGAATACTTTGCCAGGCTGGCTTCTTCGACGCCACGCTGTGCTGTGTAGGTGACTCGGATTTATTGTTTGTACTTCCCAAGAGGCGTTGACCAAAAATACCCACACTAACCTAACACAGAGCTCAGCTATATGCAGTTGGGTTTTTTTCACCAAATTTGTAGTATGGATAAAATTAATTTTTTTGCTTTCTTTTCTACAAAGTGCAGGGAATTTCCGTGTAGGGTGAATTAATACTTTTAGAAAGCAAACCTGTGCTTTGCAGCATTGCTTGGACAGCATTTAGGCGATTACGATACTGTGTTCAACCCTGATTTATTTACTGTTTGGCTCGTGAGTTTCATTGGTGACTAAAACGCTTTCCTCTTTT